ATGTTGACCAGGATGGTCTCGATCTCTTGACCTCATGATCCACCCGCCTCGGCCTCCCAAAGTGCTGGGATTACAGGCTTGAGCCACCGCGCCCGGCTTTTTTTTTATAAAAATGGGGTTTCTCCATGTTGGCCATGCTGTTCTCGAACTCCTGACCTCTGGTGATCCGCCCACCTCAGCCTCCCAAAGTGCTCGGATTACAGGCGTGAGCCACTGCACCCGGCCTCCTCCCTTGACTCTTACCACTCACACTGCCTTACATCTACCATTTGGTCCTTGCTGCTTTGTTTTGGTTATTCCCGCATTTATTTGTCCTTTTATTCATTTATATACAAACATTTAGTAAACACCTATTCATGGATAGCGCTCATTGTAGACTTCGAAGCTCTTTGAGGGTGCAAGTATGCCTCGTCTATCTGTCTTTACTTTTTGCAGCAGGGAGGTAAAGCTCCATTTCCATCCCTCCTCAGTGAGTCAGCAGTCACTGGTGACGCTAAGGCTTACCTCTGCCTTTCTCACCCAGCACAGGGTCTGGAGATGAGCAAGGGAATGGGAGGAGGTCAGCCCAGTATGGGAATCAGTTCTTCTCAGGGACCCAGACATCCATCCCTCAAGACTCCAGTCCTTGTCCTACTCCAGCCCTTGACCTCAGGTTTGTGGATCAGCTCTTCCTTCAGCACCTACCTTAAGGGTGTAGAAGAATGCAAACCACATGGGACCTGGAGATCGGTGTTCTCATTTCAGCTCTGCTGACTGGCTTTCTGCAAGCTATCTTCCCTCCCCAGACCTCAGTTTCCCTCTTTGCTGAGCCAGAAGATGTCTAAAGCCCCCTTTGGTTCCACCCTGAGAGCCTGTCTCCATACCCCAACTTCTCCCCCAGTTCGGAGAACCCAGGCATCCAGTTGCCCCACCCCAGCTCTGGGTAAACAGGAAGCTGGGTGAGGGGAGCTGGGGTGTGTGGAAAGTCCCAGCCAGGTGTGTAGGTCTACAGGGAGGGGGTGGCCCCATCCCTGAGGTATGAAAGCCCCCGCTCTGCCTCTGGTTCAGTCTCAATGGGGGCAATGGGGCTGGAGGGCAGGGGTGGGAGGCTCCAGGGGAGGGGCTCCCTCCTGCTAGCTGTGGCAGGAGCCACATTTCTGGTGACCCTGTTGCTGGTGGTGCCTATCACTGTCCTGGCTGTGCTGGCCTTGGTGCCCCAGGATCAGGGAGGACTGGTGAGTGGCTGCAACAGGTCCTGGTGGAGGGCTGCTTGTTTCGGATGCTGGGCTCCCTCTGGTCCTGCCTGTGGTCTTTTGCCCCCTCTGGCTCAGCTGGCTCCGCCGTCCCTGGTGGGGATGTCTTGTGTCTTTGCTGACTCTCTTTCCATGTACCTATGATGTTGTGCTTATCTCCCAACGTAAGCCCCTTATGTCTCCTCTTCCCAAGGCACATCTGTCTCTCTGCCCAAGCACCTATGCCTTGCTTGCTTTCCCTTCTAGGGAGGTGTGGTTGGGGATGGTGCTGGTGGGAGAAACCCCAGGCCTGCAGCTTGAATCCATTTTCAGAGGGGTAGGGGTGACATGAGCTGGATCTGAACTCTGGGCACTGTGACCCCACCCAACCAGGTAACGGAGACCGCTGACCCCGGGGCACAGGCCCAGCAAGGACTGGGTAAGAGCTGACCGTTTCTCCTTACCCTATCCAGCCCCTCAGGGGCTCCCAGCTCCCAGCTGCGTACCCAGATACCTCTTCCTCCAGGAATCCAGGCTCCCCATCCCTGCACCCAGTCCTCTCAAGGGTCGCCAGCATGAGTGGCTGCCCTGGCCCCAATCGTGGACTCTATTATGCCCCTTCCAGGGTTTCAGAAGCTGCCGGAGGAGGAGCCAGAAACAGATCTCAGCTCCGAGCTCCCAGCTGCCCACCTCATAGGTAAGGATCTCAAAGACCCGAATAAGAGTTTAAATAATCCGAAGGTTCCAGTTCTGCTCGTCCAGAGTCCCTGGGCTCCATGATTCCAGGGCTCGGTTTCCCACCCGCTTCACTACGTTTCACCGCTCGCCCCCACCCTTCCGCTCGTCCCTGCAGTGCAGCTGCTTATTCCCGCCAGCGCTGGCAAAAGCCGGCCCGGAGGTCCCCACTACAGCGCTCTGCACCCCACAGCCCGGTTCCCTCGGCCTCCAACTCGCACTCATCCCAGAGACAGCGCCCCCCCCGACTCACACATCCCCCGCCCCGGCCCCGCGCGGCTCCCGCCGGGGCTAAGAGCCGCCACTCTCCCAGAACCCGAGCCTTTAGGATCGTTTTCCCAAGAGCGCGCGGGCCCATGTCTCCGCAGGCGCTCCGCTGAAGGGGCACGGGCTAGCCTGGGAGGCCGCGAAGGAACAGGCGTTTCTGAGCAGCGGGACGCAGTTCTCGGACGCCGAGGGGCTGGCGCTCCCGCAGGACGGCCTCTATTACCTCTACTGTTTCGTCGGCTACCGGGGCCGGGCGCCCCCTGGCGGCGAGGGTCCCCGGGGCCGCTCGGTCACGCTGCGCAGCTCGCTGTACCGCGAGGGGGGCGCCTACGGGCCGGGCACTCCGGAGCTGCTGCTCGAGGGCGCCGAGACCGTGACCCTGGTGCTGGACCCGGCCGGGAGGCAAGGGTACGGGCCTCTCTGGTACACGAGCGTGGGGTTCGGCGGCCTGGTGCAGCTCCGGAGGGGCGAGAGGGTGTACGTCAACATCAGTCACCCCGATATGGTGGACTTCGCGAGAGGGAAGACCTTCTTTGGGGCCGTGATGGTGGGGTGAGGGGCTATGACTGCGTGATGCGAGTGTGTGAATATTGGGGGCCCGGAAGCCCAGGACCCCATGGCAGTGGGAAAAATGTAGGAGACTGTTTGGAAATTGATTTTGAGTCCGATGAAAATAAAGAATGGAAAGCTTCAGTGCTGCTGATACAGGTGCTGAGATGTGACGCGTCTTAATTCAGGATGGGTGCACAGGTGTGGGTTAAATATTCTGTGTACTTTTCTGGTTGCTTGAAACAATTCACCACAACACAATGTATGGGCTTTGCTCCTGCGGATGGTGGTCTGCTGGTCCCGCCCCTCCCTGCCTCCAAATGGCCAGGCCCCACCGTTAGTCCAGTTGGAGCGTGGAGGAAGGGGGACTACTCAAACTCCTAAGCTTCTCCAGGTATCCTGATTTTCAGGCCCGCATGGTCCCAACCAGACTCAGCACCACACTCTTTTTTTCTTGGGTCCTCTCAACAGTGAGAGGGGTCACTACAGAGCATAGCAAGCACCGCTCAGAAAGGCCGAGCAGCAGAGTAAGCCCCTATCATGAAAGAGGAATGAGGTGTGGAGGGGCCCCGCACTTCTCCCCCAGGGCTGCCTGAAGGCCACTTTCTCTCCTACCCCACAGTCAACTCTTCTCCAAGGAGCTTAATTCAAGGCTCATGGGGGCTGAAGGGAGGAGGCTGAAGGAGAAAGAAGGGGAAGATATTAGAGAGAGATGGGGATGACGGAAGGAGTCTGTGGTACCCGAAAACACCAGGAAGTTCTGGGGAGGAGGAAAAACCAATGCCACAATGTCCCATTTAGGGTGAGGTGGAAAATCCTCACCTTTAGTTCACACTTTAGGTCCCCCTTCCCAAAAGTGAGTAAGTGTGGGCGCCTCGGGGTAACGGTAGTCCCTCCTTACTTCACGACCGACTTTCAGCCACAGGCTGGGGGAGGCAGAGGGTGACCCAAGGCCCTATCTAGGTCACCCCACTGGGTCACCCCACCCCCTCAGCCTACTACACAGTTTTCTCCTGCCTGGCACCCTATGGTTGGTGGTAGAGCCTAATTTCCGAGTTCACTGGGGGCTCCCAGTCTTGGGGGACTCAATCTCTGCCTCCATATTTGTTTTTGGAATACTATTTTTGAGACAGGGTCTCATTCTGTCACCCAGACGGGGTACAGTGGCATGATCATAGCTAATTGTAACCTCAAACCCTGGGCTCGAGTGATCCTCCTGTCTCAGCCTCCTGAGTAGCTAGGACTACAGGCATGCCCCACCTGGCTAATTTTTTTTTTTTTTTTTTTTTTTTTGAGGTGGAGTTTCGCCCTTGTTGCCCAGGTTGAAGAAAACTGTGTGGGCCGGGCGCGGTGGCTCAAGCCTGTAATCCCAGCACTTTGGGAGGCCGAGGCGGGTGGATCACGAGGTCAAGAGATCGAGACCATCCTGGTCAACATGGTGAAACCCCGTCTCTACTAAAAATACAAAAAATTAGCTGGGCATGGTGGTGTGTGTCTGTAATCCCAGCTACTCAGGAGGCTGAGGCAGGAGAATTGCCTGAACCCAGGAGGTGGAGGTTGCGGTGAGCCGAGATCGCGCCATTGCACTCCAACCTGGGTAGCAGGAGCGAAAAACCCCCTCAAAAAAAAAAAAAAAAAAAAAAGAAAACTGTGTGGTAGTCGAGTGCGATGGTGTGATCTCGGCTCATCGCAACCTCCGCCTCCTGGGTTCAAGTGATTCTCCTGCCTCAGCCCCCCGAGTAGCTGAGATTATAGGCATGTGCCACCATGTCCTGCTAATCTTGTATTTTTAGTAGAGATGAGGTTTCTCCATGTTGGTCAGGCTGGTCTCGAACTCCTGACCTCATGATCCACCTGCCTCATCTTCCCAAAGTGCTGGGATCACAGGCGTAAGCCACGGTGCCCGGCCCACCTGGCTAATTTTTAAATTTTTTATAGAAACAAAGTCTTGTTATGTTTCATAGGCTGGTCTTGAACTAGTGGGCTCAAGTGATCCTCCCGCATTAGCCTCCCAAAGTGCTGGGATTACAGGCATGAGCCACTGCACCTACCCCTTATTTGTCTTTGACTCTGTTCAGAAGAGCCTTCATCGGGGGAGAGGATGCTTTTCTCTTCCCAGATCACCCATCTCACACCTCTCCCCTCCTTCACTACAAAGACGTGTGGGACCAAACTGGCTTGTGAATCCTTCACCCACCTCTTATTCCTATATATTTTTCTTTTTTAAAAATAGAGGCAGGATGACAGGATGTCACTATGTTGCCTAAGTTGCTCTCGGGCTCCTGGGTTCAAGCGATCTTCTCACCTTGATCTCCTGAAGCGAAGGGATCACAGGTGCATGCTACCACGCCCAGCGGTTCAGTTCCTTCTTTATTGTCTTCAGTCTCTTCAATTTCACCCACTGAGAGAATGGAAGGGGATAGAACAGCTGAAAACTGGTTGAAGGAAGTAAGCCAGAATTCACTGAGTGCCCACTGTGCCAAGGGCTGAGTGAGGTCCTTTGATGGAGGTCAAATCTTCTCTCACATGCCCTATGTGTGGAGGACGTTCCTATCTTCATTGATAGATAGGTTAAGTGGCTGGTTCAGGAGGCAGAGTTAGGACAGGGTGAAGTCCCTTGACTGTGATTCAGGTACCTGAGAATGTGGCCCCTCCCCAGCTTTCCCCGCTGGTTGGCCAGCTGCAGCAGCCGGAAATCTCACCTGAGCTGTAGGATTTTCCCAGCAAGGACTGGAATTCCCAGAATTGGAAATTCCCATGCCCTGAGGGAAAGGTAATTAGGTTCAGGTGCCTGTTTCCCGGGGGATGGGGAATATTCTGCTGGGCTTTGTTTATGTAGGAGCCCAGGAGTCTAAGGATGGGACTGGGTCTGAGGGATCTTAAACCCTGTGGAGACAGGACTTAGGGAGCTTCTTCCCATTCCCAAGAAGAGGCAGATGCAGAATTAATTCCAAAAAGGAGACCATGTTTCTTTTCTAAGCAAACTTTATTTCTCGCCACTGAATAGTAGGGCGATTACAGACAACTCCCCTGGGGAGCAGAGGTTCAGCAATGAGTGACAGTCGGTCACCAAACCAGTATTGTTCAGACAACTTAATCAGATGAGTATTTTAAAAAACATAATCAAAAGAAGGCACAGAGGCCAGGAGGCCACGTGGGAACAGCCTATTATTCAGCTCTGTTTTCACAGAAAACATGTCTAGCCAAGGCAGCTCCTACACTGGGTCCTCCGGGATACCTCAACCTCCTAAATAAATACATATTCGTCGGTAAATAAATAAATAATAAATAAATAATAAATAATCACAGGTGCAAACATAAATAGAGGGGCTGGCTTCATGGGGAGGGCCGGGCTCTGTGTCTCAGGGGAGTCTGGAAACATCTGGAGAAAGGAAGGCCGAGGTCACTCATGTCAACTTCTGGGTGAGGTCTCCTCAAGCCCTGCAGCGTTCTGGCCGGAACCAAAGGCTCCAGGTCCCCAGATTCCAGATGTCACAGACTGAGTTCAGGGATCAAAGCTATAGGCCCCAGTGAGTTCTGGAGGCCCCAGTCTGAAGTCTTGGTGGTTGCCAGTGCTTTGCTATGCAGGCCACACTTTCCTGAGTCCCGGGTTTCGAAGTGGTGGTGGTGTTGCTTAAAGTTCTAAGCCTGGCGTCCGACCCTAAGCCCCTAATTCTCTTTTAAGCCAGTAGAGGATGAGGGTGTCTGAAGGAGGGGATAATAAAGGGGTTGGGGCAGGGGAGGGGCTTGGGAAGGATGGACGTCCGTCCTCCTCACAGGCCAATGATCCCAAAGTAGACCTGCCCAGACTCAGCCAAGTCGAGATACTCAGGCATATTGATCTCAGCGCTGAGTCGATCACCCTTCTCCAGCTGGAAGACCCCTCCCAGGTAGATGGGCTCATACCAGGGATTGGTCTTAGCGCCCCGTGGGGTCTCCCTCTGGCAGGGGCTCTTGATGGCAGAGAGGAGATTGACCTTGGCCTGGTAGGAGACAGCGATGCGGCTGATGCTGTGGGTGAGGGGCATAAAGGTGGAGGGGCAGCCTTGGCCCTTGAAGAGGACCTGGGAGTAGACGAGGTACAGCCCCTCTGATGGCACCACCAGCTGGTTATCTCTCAGCTCCACGCCATTGGCCAGGAGGGCATTGGCCCGGCGGTTCAGCCACTGGAGCTGCCCCTCAGCCTGAGGGTTTGCTGGAGGGAGGGAGGGAGAGAGAGAGAGGGGAGTCAGTGTGGCCGTGTCGGTTCAGTCTCCACATCCTGGCCCTCAAGCTCTGCCCACCCCACATCTGGTTCCTGTCCCCTCTGTCTGTCATCCCACATCCCACCTGGATGATGTTCTGAGTATCCCCCAAGCGCTATACTGTTTCTCCACCCTCCCCTTGAGCTCAGCGAGTCTTTCTCACACTGTCTCCGAGGACCAACTACCCTCAGCCAGGCTTCAACCCCCACATCCTATCCCTCCAAGTTCCAAGACACATCCTCAGAGCTCTTACCTACAACATGGGCTACAGGCTTGTCACTCGGGATTTGAGAAGATGATCCTGAAGAGGAAAGAGAAAAGGAAAAAGCTGAGACCCTTAAACTTCTAGAAAATACCTCCCTACTTTCCCGTTCATCCGTCCTCCCCCCAAGAACAAAACTTTAAATTTCCCCCACTACTTCCATACCGATACTAACCCTACCTCCCAACCCAAACCCAGAATTAGGAAAGAGGTTTGGAGACACTTACTGACTGCCAGGGCCAGAGAGCTGATTGGAGAGCGGTCCTTGGAGGGCTGTTGAGGAGAAGGAGAATGGTTAGCATCGAGGGAGGCGCCCTGAAAGGAGGAACAGCTGGCTGCCTGCCTGGCCTGCGCTCTGAGCCCTGAGTGTCTGCTTTTTTTTCTCCATTCATCCGTGTATTCACCCTCCCTGCATTCAACAACTCTCACTGAGTGTCTTCTGTGCGCCAGACATCCTATCTTCATCTCTCCTTATCGTCCTCGTCTCTCTCCTTAGTTCTCTCTCATATCTCCCACATCTCTTTCTGTCTCATCATCTTTATTCGTATCACTTGTTTCTTCCCCATCTCTCTGTTACACCCACATCTGTCTCCATATCTTATATATATATCTGCTTGCTCATTCATTCATTCATTCATTCTTTCACTCCATACACACTTAGTGGACACCTCCTGTGTGCCAGACAGCCTGTCTCTCCATCTTTCTCTCTCTCTTCCCATCTCTTGGCACATCTCTTTCTGCATCCCCATCTTTCTCCACATTTTTTCTCTCCATCCCTCCCTGTCAGCACACGTCTTTTGCCCATTCCGTCTCCCTCCCTCTCTTGCGTCTCTACTTCCCCTTGGGTGGGAGAGTGATGAAGGCTGGCAAGGCACTCACCTCTTCCGTCTGGGGGCCGATCACTCCGAAGTGCAGCAGGCAGAAGAGCGCGGTGGCACCTGCTACGAGCAGGAAGGAGCAGAGGCTGAGGAACCAGCGCTGCCTGGAGCCCTGGGGCCCCCTGGTCTTGGAGAGCGCCTCCTCGGCCAGCTCCACGTCCTGGATCATGGTTTCAGTGCTCATGGCTGTTCTTTCCAAGGGAGAGAGGGTGGAGCCTTGGGGCAGTATGTGAGAGGGAGATAACCCTCCTGGCAGCTTGTCGGGGGATGTGGTGTCTGAGGGTTGTTTTCAGGGGGGTCTGGAATTGCTTCTCTCCCTCTTGGCTGGTCCTCTGCTGTCCTTGCTGAGGGAGCGTCTGCTGGCTGGGTGTGAAACAACTGCCTTTATAAAGTCCCTGAGGGGAGAGGAGGGCGGGGAAAGAATCAATCAACCAGCGGAAAACTTCCTTGGTGGAGAAACCCATGAGCTCATCTGGAGGAAGCGGTAGTGGGCCCTAAAGCTTCAGTCTCCGTTTCTTCTCCATCACGGGGGTGGAGATTTGGAAAGTTGGGGACACCCAAACATCAAGGATACTCCTCATACTCCCCACCCTCCCTGCTCCGATTCCAAGGGGCCCTTTTGGGCTAGTGACGGATTTGTGTGTAGGACCCTGGAGGCTGAAGTCCTTTCCCCCATGCCTCTCAAAGCCTATTGTCTGAATTTCTGTTGGGGACCAGGTCTGTGGTCTGTTTCCCTCTGATGCCCAGACAGGATGCAGGAAAAAGAGGGAGAACTGGGAGGGGCTTCAGAAAGCTGAGTCCTCAAGGGAGAGAAAACGGAGTTGGAGGGAAAAGCTGTGTTGAGTCCTGAGGTCTGTGTTTGGGTCCCTGGGAGGAGAAGGAGCCAGGGACAGGGCAGCTCCATACGTGGGGACAGACTCAGGACCTCGGGGTAGGCTGGGTGGGGGTAGCAGGGACAAGCCTGGGACAGCCCCAGGGAGTGAAATCAGCCCCGGGAATTCACGGACCCCACTGGGTAGGGCTTCTCCTTTCATTCTGACCCTGGGACTCACACTGCTGGTTTCAGTCTTGGCTTCCAAGAAACTCTGGGGTCCCTGATTTGTTGGTGAAGCTCTCATTTCTCACCGCCCCAATGTGTGGCCATGTCTTCTTAAACATCCCCTGGATTCTGTACCTGGAGGCCCTGGAGGCCCTTTCACTCCCTGGGGCCCTCTGTATGGCCCTGTCTTGGAGCGGGGATCCCCACACTCCACCCCCATAGCTCTGGACATTCTCCTACCCTTTGCTGTGGTCACATCTCGCCAGAGGTCTCCTGTCACCCATTCCTCAGAGCCACTACATGTGACCATATCTCCCAGAGGCTCCCTGACCCCCACCCCTGCAGACCCTGACTCTTCCTTTGTCTTCTCAGCTCCTCCTTTGCTTCCCCTGCAGCAGTCTGGCTGCCTCACCTGATGAGCCCATCACATATCCCTGAAGCTCTCTGAGCCCTTTATCCTCTTGTTCTGCCCACAGCTGTTGCTCCCTGTGAGCCCCCTGTCCTGCCCTCCATTCCTTAGATAGACTGGGGAATTCTCACTCCCAGACAGACACGCATAAGCAGACAGCATTTCAGAGAAAAGAGATTTATTGGGCTTCATCAGGGTGCAGATGCCTCCGTGTGGGGCTCTGGTCGGCAGCTGGCTTTCAGGGCCTTTCGCTGCCTTCTGAGGCCCCGTGACCCCCCGTGACGCCTACTTCTTTCTTTCTTGGTCAGCCTTGTGCCCATGCCTTCTCACTCTTCATCTTTTGGGCCTCTCTCTCTCTCTCTCCTTGGATGTTCTTCTATTATTCCCCTCTCTCCATCCTCCATAAATAAATAATTTAATTTTTTGCCTTCATAAATAGTCCCCTCCCTGCCCCCTGTCATCCCCCAAGCTCCCCCACGTGTCTGCTCTTCCTCTGTGTGTGGATCTGGGCCCCAGCTAGCTGGTGGGACAGACCAACAGCTTTGGGCTGGGAATTCCTAGACAGGCTTGAAATCCCCAGCCAGACAGACATCCGGGATGGTTCAGGCGGGTGTGGTCCCCTGGGATGCCTAGAATTCCTTCTTTGAAAGCTCCAGCTGACTTGACTGGGGAAGACTTGAGCTGTTGGAATGGTCAAAGGAGAGGTGGTGGTGACCCCTGAAATCGTCAGAATGGAGGCAGAATGGGGAGAAGGTCTTGAAATCAATTATTTTTTCTTTCCAAATTTTCCCAAGTTCTACAGAGCAAAGGCTCCAAAGAAGACAGTACTAGGGCTGAGGACTAGGTGGTGGATGCCATCTGTGTGGGTGGATAGCTGGTCTCCCTGGGTGAGCTGGAACGCAGCCCCATGGTACATCGAGTGCAGCCAGGGTTCCTGCAGCCCTGGATATACCATCTTCTGGGAGCTGAGGAGAGACACGTGGAAGGGGTACTGGGAGGAGAAGAGCTGGACCTCATGGGCCAGGTAGAGCGGGGTGGGCGTGGCCTTGGGAGAGTAGGCTTTCCCAGAGAAGACCACCTGGGAGTAGACAAAGTAGATGCCACTGGTGGGGACCAGGAGAGAATTGTTGCTCAAGGAGAAACCATCCTGGAGGAAGGCACGGTCCGTGTTCGCTCTCCAGCGCAGTGATTTCTGGTTGCTGGGGTCTCCTAGGAAGAGCCATAGGGGATGGGGGTAGAAGGTCAGAGGTCTGGGTTAGAGGTCTCAGTCCCCAAGGAAGCAGGCACTGGACAACTGAGCTCCTGGGGGATGGCTGGGGGAGGTGTGAGAGTGGGCTGCCAGTGTTTTTTGGGGGTGGGGGAAGTTCAGGGAGAGCGGTGGATGCTTGGGTTCCTGAAGCAGGGGTAGGAGCAGAGCTAGTGGGGACATGTCTGGGAAGTCAGGTGGATGTTTACCAACGAGGTGAGCAGCAGGTTTGAGAGTGCTGCGGGCAAGATGCATCTTGGGGTGCTGACGGGCAATCTGGGCAGCTGAAGGTGTGAGGCCAACACCAGGGAGCCCCTAGGGAAGAACAGAGTTGAGGGGGAGCTTTAGGGCTCAAGGTTTGGCTGGACCACCCCAGAAACTCCCATTCTCCTGCTGCCTCACCTGGGCCCCAGGAAGCAGGGCCAGCAGCAGCCCCAGAAGGAGGAGGTGTAGGGGGGTGCCCTGCACCCTTGAGAGGAAGAGACGTTCTGGTGGTGTCATGGGGGAGAACCTGCAGAGAGAGAGAGAGGGTGAGCGGGGCGGGGCACACTGCAGAAGACAGGCGACAGACCTCCTGCCCTGGGAGACAGCACCCCCCACCCCCGGAGAGAGAGATCGACAGAGAAGGGGACAGGATGCAGTCAGAGATACCCCAAGGTGAGCAGAGGGCGACAGAGAGAGTCGGGAAGGGAACAGAGAGGGATCATGGTAGAAACAGAGAATGTATGAGAGACAGAGACAAAGAGGCTGACAGATGGAGAGTCAGAGACAGGGAAGGAAACCAAAACCAAACCCACCAAGGCCCAGGCCCAGGCAGGCCGGGGATCCAGGCAGCAGGTGCAGGAGGGACCGAGGCCCAGGCAGAGGGCAGGGCACTGTGGGGTGGTAATCCGAAGCACGAACACGGGCAGCCCAAGGAGATGGGGCCGGAGAGTCTCACCTGCTGTGCGGAGCCCCTGGGCCCGGACGCTCGGGTCCCTTTATAGAGGAAGCGGCAGCGGCAGCGTGGCAGGCAGCGGGCGGGTTCTAGGTCGGGGCTGGGGCCTGGGGAAGCCCCCAGGGCTTAGACGATGCTGCTGTTTCAGTCAAAGGCAGGAAAGGCTGAGGCCTAGAAGAGAACCACAGGCTGGGGGTTCAGGCGACTGAATTCTGGGAAAGGGAGTCGGGTCAGGGGAATCGTGGGCTGGGAGGGCCAGGGAGTGGGGTCAGGCCTAGGAGTTCCAGAGAAGGGACGGTCAATTCGGGGAGGAGGAGGTTGAGCAGCTGGGGTGTGGGCTGGAGGCCCGGTTCCCTGAAGAGCAATCATATGTAACATCTCTGCACACTTGGCTGAGTACAGGCTTCTCTCTTTGCCCGTTTTCTTCTCTTGTCCCCTGTCCTTGTCCCAAACAACTGAAGTCATACTTGTTCCAGTATATGGACTTTCCAGCCCATCTGGCAGGTTTCACATCAAGAAGGTCCATTATATATCCCTTCATCGGGGACATTCTGGTGTTTGCCTCTTGTCCAGGTGAAAATATTAATGGAGCCCCTTCCATTCTTGAAACAGTCCTTGTTTGGAAGATAAATTTTTTGGTCCCCTTCCCCAGAGATGATGCTGGACACATCCTACTCCTGAAGGATACCCTCCATCTCGTCCTGACCTCAGGTGGCTTCCACAGATCAGATTTATATAACCCCAAATAAATACACACTCCAGGATCAATGCGGCGGACACCTTCCAAAGTTCTCTATAGGAGAAGTGTCAGAATTCCACTTGGGTGAGGCTTAAGGGTGGGGACTTGGGGTGGGGTGGACACAGCTAAGGGACTTGTCTTGAAGTTGCATTTGCAGAGCCAATACATTATTTTAAAGCTGCTCCAGGCTGGGTGTAGTGGCTCACACCGGTAATCCTAGCACTTTGGAGTCTGAGGTGGGCAGATTACTTGAGGTCAGAGGTCAGAATTTCGAGACCAGCCTGGCCAACATGGTGAAACTCTGTCTCTAAAAAAACACAAAAATTAGCCAGCGTGGTGGCGCACATCTGTAGTCCCAACTACTCGGGAGGCTGAGGCTGGAGAATCGTTTGAACTGGGGAGGCAGAGGCTGCAGTGAGCCAAGATCGCACCATTGCACTCCAGCCTGGGGAACAGAGCAAGATTCTGTCTCAAGAAAAAAAAAGTTCTGAATATTTTTTCCTTTTTATTGATATGTAACAGAGGTTTGAGGTGGACACCTCTTAAGTGTACAGCTGATGAATTTTTCCATCTGTTGGTAGCCATGTAGCCACCACCAAGCTCCACGTATTTTCAGGTCCCCAGTAGGTTCCCTCATACTCCTTCCCTGCTGATACCCTCCAAAGATAACCAACCACTCTCTGACCTTTATCCCCATAGATTAGTTCCTCCTGCTTTGGAGTATCATATAAATGAAATCATATAGAATCTACTCATTTCTCTTTGGCTTCTTTCAGTCAGCATTTTGTTTGTGAGATTCATCCATGTGGTTGCATGTATCAGTAGTGTTTTTTTTAAATTGTGATGTAAGATTCTATCATATCAATATACTCTAATATATTCTTCTGTTGATGGGCATTTGGTTTGTTTCTAGTTTTTGGCTAACACAAAAAACGTTGATACCAACATTCTCATACAGGAGCCCATTTTCACTTAGCTTGCAAACTACAAGGTTTAAAACAAAGCACAGTTTCTAAAGATGACTTTATTCACTTTTCCTAAGTTTGAGATAATACCAACTGGTCACCTCAAATATTATTACTGCTATAGGTGTGATTTTACTTGGACGGTGTTAGAGAGTTTGGAGCTGGGGCTGGTGGTGACCTGGGGTAAAGCCCACTGTTGCACGGGGCAGGCCGATTCTCTCCCCAGGCACAAGGTCCCTGAGGGGTCCTGGAGTAACATGGAAGGACAGGGAAGTAACATTCTGGGTGTGTATGAGCTATTTGTTCTGTTCTCCTTCTCTACTTGAAGCCCTGCACCTCTGCCTTTTATGCTTTACTAGTCTTAGCTATTATTTCTTTTTATTCTGTAGGGCAGAAAGGGGTGATTCCTTCCTGACTCATCACGAGGGTCATAGCCAATACTCCTGTAACAAAAGACAGGTTAACAGGAGAAAAGCATAATACATTTATTTAATCAAAGTTTTAAGTGACACGGGAGCCTTTGGAAATGAAGCCCTAAGGATCCAGGGA